GGGCGGGCTGGCCAGCCATGTGCATGAGGGAAGGAGCCACTGCACCTGCGGCCACGGCAGACCCCCCCACAAACAGGGTCCACGGCAGACCCCCCCACACAACCAGGGTCCAGGAAGCCCCCACTGACCACCAGGCTAAGGTAAGGTGACACATTTTTTTAAAATAAAATCTAAAATTTAAAAATGTCCCTGGGAACATAAAATAAAAAACTTTTTTTTTTTAATACTACTCACCTGATTCCAACAAGCGTAGCCTCCCGTTTCCCACGCTGTAAGTGGGGGGGGGGGGGGCGGAAAAAAAATTCTGCCCCGGGCGCCCATAACTCTGGTTACGCCACTGGTCCCCCCCCCATGGCAAAAACCCCACCTGATGCCCATATGGGAACTGGGTTGTCACAGCCGAACCTGCACACAGCAAGGAACTGCATACGCTCAATGGCTGAAACCGGGGAAACTACCAGAATCTATATGTTCCAGCCTGTCCCCCAACTATCAACTTACTGAAAGGAGAATTAAGAGGTTAGTGATTTTCACTCACCGTCATAGTTAGAGCCGACGTGTGACAATGAAACGGTCACAAGTCAGCTCTATTGATTGGGAAGTGAGCAAACACATATCGTCGCTAGCTCACTTTTCGATCGTCTCCCTGCAGAGAGCGGGGACTGTCAGGGATTCCCCCTCCCCTCTCCGATCCTGCAGCGCTGAATGGAGGAACGGACGGGGGCAGGCAGAGCCCACTGTCAATCAGCCAGCTGGGTGGATCTCAACAGTAGAGCTCGCTATATACTGAGCTTTGGGTCACGGGAGGATGTTAACATATGTCCTCCCGTGACCCTTAAAAGAGCTATGGGATAAAAAGTTTCCCTCTAGTTCTCTAAGTAAAATGAAATGAAGTAGGATTTGTAGGTGTAAACCTCTATACCCCAACTCTTAGATGCTAGGTTAGTTGCTGCAGTGTGGGTTGGTAGGCGGGGGTGAGCTGGAGAAGACCAGAGTCCTCCAATTAATGAAAGAGAAAAAGGTGTTGTGACAATCTGAAGGTACAGCCCTTTCAGATTCACATAATGCAACATGACCCCACATCTGTACAGTTAGCACTCCTCCGGTCTTCCATACTACATTTAGTGCTCCTGCAACCACCTTGATCCACTGCTGCACAACCTTTAAGGTGTAGCTTTGTTGATACAAAGTAAACAAGAATGTCCTAATTAAATGTAAAACAAATGCTAACCTTTTATCTCTGGATCATCGCTTCCCAAGATGAACTTAAATCCTATTAGTAAGGATTTTGTTGTACCCTACAAAAACAATGGAAAAAACATGTTTAAGCACAAAAATCTAATTGTATAACTTTCACAGTAACATATCTCTTCTATCATGTTTTCTTTCAGAATGGGCTACCTACTTTGTATTCTTAGGTAAACTGTGTTGCAATCATTTTAATTTCTATGTACATGTCTGAAAAGTTACCAACTCACAATACAGTTGCTTAGTTTTTTTTTGTTTTGTTTTTGTTTCATCATTTTATATTTACTCCTTATGCACTTGTCTACCAACAGCTTGTTAAATGGTGCCACTGCCCATCCTTTAGACACTGAAAATGTATGCTATAATTAGCACTTAAGAGTTAAACCTAACACATAAGGCTATTAGAGACACAAAGATGCATTAAGAAAAGGAGGTGGGAGGAAGTATAAGAAGGGTTCACATGTGACTTTAGGCCCTTGGTTCTCAACGGTGGGTGGTGACCCAAAAGTGGGATGCGACCTCGTGTTCAGTGGGTCGCCGCATGCCTTTCACTCTTCTAGGTGAGAGGCTCCTCTGCCTTCCCCTAGCGCAGCATTGTCAGTTCTTGCTCCAAGCAACCATTCAAAATATGCTGCCCGGCGCGGAGTGTCAGCTTGAGGTGGAGTGGGCTGGTGGTATGGCCACGAGGGAACTCCATCCATACGTGCCTTGCTTACAGCTCTCTCACATGACCTGTATAGGTGCCTGGACTGGAGGGATATCACATTCTGGCTCCCATTACCTCTACAGGGTGTGCAAGGGAGGAGCACAGCAGCCCAAACTGGACCCCAGGCTGAGGATCCACTCCAGTTCTCGTAAGCTGGGGAGGCTTGGTGGACCTTAAAAAAAAAACACTTTTGGAGTGTGTGTGTGAGATTGTGTCTACATGTCAGTGTTTTTGAGGGCCTGTTCAAACTAGTGCAGTGTGTCAAAAGCATAGTACTGTGCGATTGATTCACTGCACCACGCAATCTCAACTACTGTGCATTCTGGTGTGGTAGGTGTGTTGCGTTGCCATTCATTTGAATGGCACCCCAAACGCATATCCCACCCACAGTTCGTACACCCACACCGGAATTTGTGTTACCCTAATGCTGTGCGTTCCATTGCAGTGCAACTTGGGTCACGACTTAATGACCGAGGACAAATGTGGGTCCTAAGGTTACACTTGTTGAGAAACACTGCTTTAGGCCATAACCTGATGAAGTCCTGAAAAGGAAAGGGAGATACTCCATGCTCTCTCATTAGGCTGATATTAGTGAAGAAACTTGAATGCCTGGCAAACACTTATTCTGTGTGTTGAATGAGAAAGTAGACAACCAAGAGGCACCTCAAGCATAGAATGGTTGACTACAAAAGATGGTTAGCTTTTTTGACCCCTTAGTGTCACAAATTTGTGACACTAATGGGTCTATTTAAAAAAATAAATCATAGCTATTAATTCAGAGCAGCTGCACGTAGATTTGTTACGTACAATTTAAGCAGTTGTTGTGTGCACAATGTACCGTTGTCTATATAGAGGACTACAAATCCCACTATCCCAGCAATACATCATAGAGCACCCTGTGTGGGAAAGTGCAGGCGTACCTGAGCAGTCTTCCAGCAATTTGTTTCTGAGGTCGGGCCTGTCTGTCGGCGGCTGTCATCCCCCCACACCTGCTCCTCCGCCCTACTTCTCCCCGCGTCCCTGTGCCGATCGTGGATGTCGGCAGGTGGTGAGCGTGAGGCGGGGAGGAGGTGCGGTGTGTAGAGCGTGGATGCGGACGGGTCTGGCAGCAAGACCAAAAGAGCTGTCAAAGGACGTTAGGGACAAGATCGCAGACCTGCACAAGGCTGGAATGGGCTACAGGACTATCAGCAAGAAGCTTGGTGAGAAGGAAACAACTGTTGGAATTATTATTCGCAAATCAAAAGGAATACAAAATAACCATCAATCGCCCTCGGTCTGGAGCTCCATGCAGGATTTTGCCTCATGGGGTAAGGATGATCATGAGAAAAGTGAGGGATCAGCCTAGAACTACACGGGAGGAGCTTGTGAACGATCAAGGCAGTTGGGACCACAGTCACCAAACCATTGGTAACACAATACAACACCATGGATTAAGATCCTGCAGCGCCCGCAAGGTCCCCTTCCTCAAGAAGGCACATGTACAGGCCCGTCCGAAGTTTGCCAATGAACATCTAAATGATTCAGAGAAGGATTGGGAGAAAGTGATGCGGTCAGATGTGACCAAAATTGAGCTCCTTGGCATTAACTCGACTCGCCGTGTTTGGAGTAAAGGTGCCCATAGACTTTTGTCTTGCGAGGGTTGTAAAGTACTTAAAAAAAAACGTATGATCTCCCCATCTTGGGCAGGCAGATCGTACTTGCGATCATCGATGATTGTAATGAGGGGCGGGCTTACGATGACTGCAAACGGGCAGTGTGCGCATGCGCACACCGGCCTGTTCGGCAGTTGTCGAACCAGCAGGCCACTAACTCGCCGAGAATCGTACGATTTCCTGCGGGTTTTCCAGCCTGCTTGTCCGACGGAAGACGTGCAACCGTACAGTAGAAACGGTCGCACGCCTTCCATACACTGCACGATCGTACGATCGCAGGATTTCCTGCGATTCTCGTACGAGAATCGTGCAGTGCATGGGCACCTGAAGAAACATGCTGACTATGACCTGAAGAACACCAATCCTACAGTCAAACACGGAGGTGGAAACATTATGATTTGGGGCTGTTTCTCTACTAAAGGTACAGGCCGACTTTGCTGCATTGAGAGGCCAATGGACGGGGCCATGTATTGTAAAATCTTGGCCATGTATTGTAAAATCTTCCCTCAGCCAGAACACTGAAGATGGGTCGTGTATGGGTCCTTCAGCATGACAATGACCAAAAACATACCGACAACTCAACAAAGCAGTGGCTCAAGAAGAAGCACATTAAGCTCATGGAGTGGCCTAGCCAGTCTCCAAACCTTAATCCTATAGAAAATTTATGTAGGGAGCTGAAACTTCGGGTTGCCAAGAGACAGCCAAGAAACCTTAAGGATCTAGAGAAGATCTGTAAAGAAGAGTGGACCAAAATCCCTCCTGAGATGTGTGCAAACCTGGTAACCAACTACAAGAAATGCCTTACCTCTGTGCTTGCCAACAAGGGTTTCTCCACCAAGTACTAAGTCATGTTTTGCTTGGGGATCAAATACTTATTTTACTCACTGAACTCAAATTTATAACATTTGTATCATGTGTTTTTTCTGTATTTTTGGTTGATATTCTGTCTCTATCATTTAAAATACACCTATGATAAAAATTATAGACCATTTCTTTGTAAGTGGGCAAACTTACAAAATCTGCAGGGGGTCAAATATTTTTTTTCCACACTGTATAAGCAGAATATCACCACATATATACACTCTACTCCTTTCTAAGCTGTGAAATGTATTACTTTTTATTTTAAGCCCCAAAACAATATTTGAACATTCGACAAGAAAAGAAAATACATTCCCCCCCGAAAAAAAACCTATAGTTTAGGTCCATTCTCACAACAGTAGGTTAACACGCACAGAATGAATGCAAATGCAGTTTTACTGGACGAGTAGATGGGGGAAATTATCAAAACTGGAGCAGATTTGCACTGCAGCCAATCAGCTTCTCTTTCATTTTCAATTCTTACCTGAGCTAACTAAGGAGAGATGCTGATTGGTTGCTCCAGTTTTGATAAATTCCCCTTTCTGGATTTAGTCTTTTTTTTCCTTTATATGGGAGGGCAGTGCTGGGGGAGGGCAGTGTATTATATATGTGCGGGGGGCGAAGTGTATTATGTGTTGGGGGGGAATGTATTATGTGCGTG